TTTAATGATATAATTTTTATATTTATTTGAAATACTTTTTCTGACAGCATATTTTTGGGTGTTGACTTTGACAGAGTCAAAATTGAATTAATTGATATGTAATCAAAATTAGTCTCATATTCAATCAATATTATTAAATGTAAATAGTTATTTCAATAAACCATTTTTCAAAAAGTTCACATCTTTGACTTTTTCTCATTGTTATACAAATTACATATTTAAAATGTCATAATTGAAAATCCGTACATCAGATTTATTCATAAAATATACCGTTAGATTTGTCTCTTTGAGACCTATCCATAAAAGTCAATCTTAACAAAAAAAATCATTGACTCTAAAAATTCCTTCGTTTTTGGTCAAACATAGAAATAATATTTTTGTTGAGTCAAAATATTATTTCTAAAATACTTTTATTATAAAATAATATAACTTTTAGACCATATTTTGGGACGTTACAAATAATAATAATAATAATAGATCCAACATCAATTGAACGAGAATATATTAACGAATATTAATCTAAAAATCAATTCTAACGAGAGATAAACCACAAGTCACCTCGATCAATATATTGAACAATTAAAATTGACAATACAAATCAGTCCAACCAAGAGTAATACTTCGTTTTTTTCTTTGTACTTGCACAACAAATCATACTCAATACTCATGTTCTCTCTTTTTCGTTCCTCAATAGTGAATACTACACATGGAGTATATTATAATTACTAACAGGTAACACACTATGTGTGTGTTTGCCCAAGCATGTGTAAGAAATGCTTCCATTTCTTAAGAGTCAAAGCATGTTTCTAGTTCTTATAGATATCTTAAGATACAGTGTTCAAGTAAACATGAGCTTATTCGCAGTTAACATGCTGTATATTATTTGATAAAAGGGGTGAGGGGTTCAGTATTTTACATGATTGGAGTCATACAACTTATGTGACAAAAAAGTTGAGAGAACATGAGTTAACATATATTTTACAGGATGTTAAGGCTAAAACTTATTTGACAAAATTTGAAAATGACCTGCACAGGGGTTAGTGATGTGTTATCAGGTCATTTTCATTACGGATGGTAGTTTCATTGCTGGAGCCACATACTTTGAAATTGTTTTTTTCTTTTCCCCTGCACATGTCAAGTCATCTTCGCTTTCAGCTCTTTGTTTTCTCTTGAGAAGTGCACTCTTTGTGTGTTGGTAAGAGAGTTGATGGAGGCACAATAATGAAAACATTTTATCCCCTAGCTCTTTGGTATGTGGCTGGTTGTAAGTTGACAACATTTGTGATGAGGAATGACCTGAGACCTTTGTTCAGAATGTCGGTGTTAATTAATTCCAATGGTGTGTTAAGTTCAAGCGATCATGTTATTTGTTTCATATCTTCTGTGAAGAGGGTGAATTGTATTGTTCTCGTTTCATCGCCTATCTCAGCAGAGATTCTGAACTTGTATTTTTTGTACTGTGTTAGAGTGGAATAACAAGTGCAAGTGTTGTGTGTAATTGAATTAAGATGATTAACGTATAAACCTCTTTGCAGTTGATGCTTCTTTGTCTCCGCACTGCATGCAAGGAAATAGTATATCGAAGTCAACTTTCCGGTTGCAAGTACTACATCCGATGTAGTATGGAACATGTCCATGCTCTTGAAGTTGTAGTTGGCCCTCCATCTAGTATTTTCGCTCCTGGATAAATAAAAACATGATAGTACTAATAGCAATGGAGTTGGACTGTCTAAAGCACATGACTAATTATATTTATAGAATAAAGGATTTTGGAACATGATAGCAATAAAAAGGTATACCAAAAAAATAAGAAAATGAAACAACATAAACCCAAAAAAGCAATCTTCATTTAGAGAAAAAGAAAAAGGTGAGAATGACCTTTTTGTATCAAACAGGACTGAAATGTACAAAGCACATTGATGTTTTTTAGGAAGGAGCCTATTGATGTTAAAGAAGCTACCAATGTAATCACACACATAAAAGTAGCAAATCAATCGCCTTCCAAAAGAAAAAACACACACTGACTATATTTGTCATATGAGTAATGCTAGGAGTACACCAAAAAGTGTACCCCAAGTGTACACCACACTCTTTTCCTCCACACATTTTTATTTAATTTTTATTTACTTATTTTTTTTGAACTTTTTTGCCCTTTTTAGTGGACAAGGAGGGGGTGGGGGATATTTGGGGTACACCTTTGGTGTACCCCTAGCATTTTTCTTGTCATATTCTAGACAACCACTATGATGAATAGAAGCATATTAGGCAGTAAAAGTAATTTATTTTCTATATCTCTAGATGAAGAATGGAATTAGATGAGGCATACGTGTACATAATTTCAGACACAGCTAAAAAGAAAAAGAGGCATCAATTTAAGGGTTTGGTTTGGAGTTGATTAACAGATGTTTGAATCTCTTTTTTGTTTAAGATATTATTATTAAAAGCTCAGTTGCTTAAGCCCTTAGACAATGGATGCTTTACATGCTATTTTTTACTTTGAAAAATTAATTAGACTGAGGTAAAAATAATTAAGGTCGTCATGAAATGTTTTAAAAAAGAAAAAAAAGCTCGGTTGAGTGCTTACTGGCCCTGAAAAGATGAGGGGTCTGAATAAAATCCAGGCAAAAACACTAAAGAGGAAACGTATGCATTTTTTATTTTAAAATACTAATAAGTCTATCAATCTTATGACAGTCTTCTCAAAGGGGGTGTAGGTCTAGTACTTGGCATGATAGTCTATGATATGAATACGTAAAAGTTTAAGAGGGCAAGACTCGTTCTGGACCCAGAACATTTATACCATGGGGTCGTAATTTAGAAAATTTATATCCAACAATCACGCTTCTAACAATATATAAACAGTACTCTACAATACATAACATTAAAGTTTATATATATTATTGAAAATACTAATTCAAAGTAGTTCTACATTGCAAATGCGAAATACATCTTATAAATGATAACGTGCAACACAATTTAACAATTCAGTGCTTGCTACATCAAACCTGCTCCCAAGCTCCTCGACAAATCTATCAATTATCTCAAACAAGCAATCAAACTTGTAATGATGCAAAATTGTAACAACTAGAGCATTTCGTGCACGCTTATTTTGCTTCACATAACGAGCATTCATGTTAGGCACAAATATATTATTTTTATTACAAAACTCCATGACTTCATTGCTGATTTTGTTCCACATATCATCTCATTAAAAATATTATAAACTTAAAACATAAGTACGTAACCTAAATTGAAATTTAAATAATTACATCCTATATTGAAATTTAAAACATAAGTACATCCTATAACTTAAAACATAAGTACATACCTTTGCATCCTATATTGAAATTTAAATAATTAAAAATATTATAAACTTAAAACATAAGTACATAACCTAAATAGCTAATTATAATTATATTAACATATTCACAAATCAAAATCTTACAAAATAAATAAATGAATTCAATTATCTATTTTTCTATTCAAAATAACAAATTTATAAAAATTAATTATAATTTTCACAATTTACAAATAAAAAAGAAATATCTAATTTAGATAATTAGATTTAAGAGAAAAAACCTGGTTGTTCGAGTAATTGGTGGGTCCTCGTCGCCGTCGTCGGTTCGAACTTCCAAGCGGCGGTCGGCGGAGATTTGGAGTCTACCGTCGGCGAGCGGATGGTCAGTCTCAAGTTTCGAATTCGGATTTTGCAATTAGGTATGGACGTCCGGTGCAGAAGCGCAGAACAGCAGAGAGGTGTAGAACTGCTTTAAGAAAAACTCGAAAGAAAAAAAAAGACGATGTTTTGATGTCATACTTCTTAAAAATAATATGTACGGATTCGAACACAGGACCGCGGAGACCGCTCTCAGGAATGAAAAACACGGAGATACTTGTGGCGTTTCGTAGAATATATACTAAATCTAGGTATATATTAAAAAAATTATACACACACACACACACACACACTAAAAAAATTTAAAATTTCCGTGGGGTCGCTTGTGGCGTTTCGTAGAATATATACTAAATCTAGGTATATATTAAAAAAATTATATATACACACACACACACACACACACACACTAAAAAAATTTAAAATTTCCGTGGGGTCGCTTGACCCCGTATGATCCTATGTGGGTCCGCCCCTTGTTCTGGTCTAAGTCTTATTCACTTACTACTACTACCTCCGTCCCACAGTATTTGTCCAGTTTGACTTTTTCGAGTCAAACTGGACAAACTTTGAACTCTAATTACTCTCAATTTGTATTACATACTAGTATAATGAAATACAATTTTGAAAGTTCTCAATACGATAAATCCAATAAAGTCATTTTTATATTAAAATATTTTACGGTTTTTATTTAATTGAAGCTCAAAGTTTGTCCAGTTTGACTTTTTCCAGTCAAACGGAAGGAGTATTATTTTGTGTTCCTTAGTTGTTCTTGGCCTTTATACTATACATGGATACACACCCTATGTTGAGGGAATTAGACATGACCAGTATTCGGTGGTTCTAATTATACAAAAGTACAAAAGTTTAAACTACATAAATAAAATTGACTGAAAGAATGTGATCTAGGAGTAGAGAAATTTCAGTATAAACCTGATTGTATGATCGTGCCACATGAGAGATGGGTGTTTTCTGAATGCCTTTCGAAACCACGGTGATACGGAATAATAACACTAGGCTTTACTCTCTTCTTTTGAGTTAGAAAAATTAATTTTCAATTTTTTTTAACACTTTCCAATTTCTTTCAATTTTTTACTTCTTCCAATTTCTTTCAAAGACGACTTAAAAATATATTTACTTATGAAGAATATACAATAACATTATTTATCCAAATTTAGAACATAACATTTCAAACATGGACAAAGATGAATTTATTTTTGTATCCAAAATTAGTTTTTTTTTGCATATTTATTTGGGTGATCATTTAGTTAAGTGATTTTTTAACATTTTAAAATTCCTTCTAGTTTTTTCTAACTCTAATTTCTTCCAGCATCTAACTTGAGAATTCCAACTGAAAAGCGGAGCCTAAAGCGGTTTCAAATGCAAAATGCCTAGAATAACTAAAATAAAAAATAAGACCAACTCTATTAATATGATGACTTTTGAGAGATGCCTAAAAATAAATCTATAAGAGCTTGACATACAGCGGACAATATCATATTAATATAAAGTTGGACGAGTCACGTGCACTCCCAACAAAATCATTGTGCCATTGCTAATTATATGGAAAATAAACTCAGATATCAAGAACATGAATGTGTTGTTTGTTTTTTCTTCAAAAAAGATCTGCAGTCTGCATGCCACATTTGCATACATCTGCAGGAGAAGAGGTGGACCAAAAGTCCGCAGTCTGCAAGAGGAAGACTGTTTTTTAACTTCTGCAAATTGCTTAAATAAACTGAAATTTAAAATAAACATATTTTTAAAGAAATCAATGTTTTTTAAACATTTAAATTTAAATAAGAGTTCTACAACACTGAAATAATAACAATAACAATTTTTAAAAGAACAAAAATAACAATTTTCAAATAATTTATTCCGCACTTTGCATTAAGTGCTCGGCAATTTCATCTCGTAACGGGGTCATATATTGATGATCTGATGCAGTAACGTGTACTTCAACATCTTCTTTATTAACATCAACGTGCCCATCGCTATTTTCTAACGACACATTTGGTTGATCGTATTTTGTAAAGAAGTCATCGCTCAAGCCCTCTTTCCTTATAAAATCAACAAGAATAATCAACAATATGAACTACTACAACACTTTTTAGAAACAATTAACAATCTGAACTACTACAACAATAATCAACAAGAATAATCAACAACATGAACTACTACAACAATATTTAGCAACAATTAACAACAAATTGTTGACTACTGTATAAAAAAGAGATTAAAAAAACGAAAAAAAAACCATTGTACAAATTGTTGCCGGCAAGGATGAGAATGTTAAAAAATGTAAAAAAAATCATTGACTATTGTACAAATTGTTAACAACAAAAAAATGTAAAAAAAAAATTGTTAAAAAAAAGAGATTAAAAAACAAAAAAAACTGAAAAAACTAGTTACTCCAGGGATGAAAATCGGAGGAGGTGGACGACAAAGATGGACGGCAGGAATGAAAAGAAGCTACAGGGATGAGGAGATGGAGGAAGCATCTCCAGTGGGGATGAGGAGAAGCCGGCAGAGGGAGACAGACGACTGGGGAGGAGGGAGACTGACGGCGGACGATTGGGGAGGATGAGGAGAAGCTAGGGGAGGGAGAGAGGAGTCGCCGGCAGTGGTGGAGACTCCGGTGGTAGAGGGTCGCGCACAGGGCAGAATGGAGAGATCGGGAAGGGAGGCGGATGGGTAGGTTTTGAGATGGATCGTAATTGATGAGAAGACGTGAGAAGCTATTGGTTTATGTCTCCTTGGGGAAGATGTTTGGAAAACGTTTTTAAGTGGTTTGTCTACTAAAAAACACTGTCTGCGCGTCCCAAATGTCTGCCCGCGTCTGCACAACGCAGACATAAGTGGTTAGAAGCTCTTCTCACCAAAAAACAAACATCCCCGAAGTAAATTTTGAATTAAATAGTACTCCGTACTAAAACATATATCATTTAATTGTACTTAAATAATGCTTAGTGGCAGAAACAATGTCCAGTGGGATATGATACTACATTAGAAAAGTCACTACATTTTAGTACTCTTTGGATAAATTCCCAAAAGATAATCACACCCTTTTCACAATAATAGAGATCAGTACAACACAAAAACTCAACATAATCCCCAGTTGCATAATAGAAGTCAGTACACTAAAAACAAATTCTACAAAAAAATAAATTATACGACTTGAGGACAACTACAAGATTTTTTAAAAATGATGATAAGTACACATATTAGAAGCATTAGACCCTAAAATTGGTCAGAGTATATATTTGCTAAAATGATACACTTGAATTTCGATTCTCATGATCTCATCAAATCAAAGTAGTTCCTGAATCTAATGGTTAAGGGCTCTTAACCTTAAAAAACATCTTGGGGCAACAAAACCTGGAAAACAGCATAATGGTGATTCAAGCTTCTCTCCCCTTGTAATCTGTGAACACTTCCCAATGCACCACAATCAGGATTAGGGAAAGCATAAAAGATACGCTTAACTCTTTGATGGACTAGGGCCATTGCACACCTACAAGAGAGTAATCAAGATAGCAAAAAAGGAACACCAAAGGTACAATTAGATTCCGGATTTTTCTTCGTCATTATCAGAAACTTATTGCCAACTAGTTAGGGTAGGTGACGTTAAAATATTAATTGTATAAAATCATTCGAGTAGCCAAAAAAAATCATGTCAAGGCAGCATAAGCACATGGGACTCTAATGAGATAGTCGAGATGATGATGTTATTTTAACGAAGATTCACTATTTTTTGGCTTTGGGGTATGATGGAATAAAGCAAATTGGGCCTTTAAACTGTGTGCGCTTCTTGCAATTGTGAAGTAGCAATTAGTCAATGCAACTTTCGACGCTCATCATGGGTCATCTGGAAACAGCTGCTCTATGTTTTAAACATAGGGGTCAGGCTACGTACATCCGACCCCCCCTACCCCGCAATGGGCGGGAGCCATTGAGGCACTGGGGTAATGTTGTTGTTGTTGTTGTATAGAGATCTTGGCAACTTAGAATGCAAAAAATGGCATCTCAAACCAAAATAAATGAGGGGATTGTGTGTATGTGTGTGTGTCTGAGAGAGAGAGAGAGAGAGAGAGGAGCTCACATGACACATGGCTCCCAGACAAGGTAGATGTCATAGCCTGTACATAAATAGGGTCTGCATGACTCAGAATGGTTTACATTTTGAGTATCCAAACTGTTCGCCTGAAAGAAGTGGTTCTCATATCAATTTAATGTGTATGCAAGTTTTCATACACCACTTGCTATTAGATATAGATGCTGTGTGAAAAAAAAAGAGAAACAGGCAACTTACAACATCTGTTGGATTGACCTTTTGCTTTTTTGATGGAGAACCGACAAGAGGAGAAACCAGCAAGTAATCCTCTTGAACAAAATTAATTCCTGTATTTGTAAAAAGTTGCCTATCCCTTGCAGCGGAACGTTCAATAGCCACAACTGGTGCATGCCGTAAAGGATGCCAAAAACTAAAGCTGGCACTGAATTGGTTATCCGCTGCCCACTTCCACGGATGTAGACATGAAACATTATCATTGACCGACAGAATTCCATTTGTTGAACCATCTGCCAACAATTTTGGTTGGCCCTCCATATCAGTTGCTTTGTTGTGCGAAGAAGCTTCCGCTTGCCTAGAGCAGCATATGCCTTCCTTGGCCTCATCTCTGGAACTATTCAAAGAGATAACTTCATCACATGCACTTGAGATCACCTGGTTAGTGGAAGGGTCCACAATGATGGCAGCATTGATCACCTGTAGAAAACTTTCACTTAGAAACCGAACTGTGTGTGTGTGTGTTAAATATTACGGTGTACGATGCAAGACTTGCAGAACTTTTTTTCCAGTGATATCCAGGTGAACTTAATATGCCGCAACAACCCACAAGGGTCTCACACTAATATATTTGTTTCAATTGCGATTTTGTCACTTGATATTAATAACTTGACGACTGTACGACATCCCAATGCAAAAGTATTTGGTCAACAATATTTTTCTGTATCCACTCCAAACTTTAATTTTAGGACTTGGAAAATGACACAAGTAAACTTAAGACAGAATGATTCAACTGCACAAAACACAACAACAACAACAACAACCACTTGAATCCTACTTCAGTAGGGTCCGGGGAGGGTGTGTATGCAGACATTACCCCTACTCAAAAGTAGAGCGGCTGTTTCCAAAGAGACCCCCGGCAACTGCACAAAACACATAGGAACAAAAACTACAGACAACCAAAATAATAATTTTAAAAAATCACATGATATAAAACCATAAGAAAAATAGCAATGAGGATCAAGAGCTCAAATTTGAGAAACTAAAACATAAAACTAGTACACACGGAAGGAGTCAATACTGATTTGGCTTTCACTAACCATTAAAACTCAAACTACTCCCTCAGTCCCAAATTTATCGTTCCTTTTTGAAAACGTGCAAAATAACTTCTCTTTTAAATTGATTTTATTTACAAATTGGTAAGGAAATAAAAAGAACAAATTACATATTTAAAAATTACCTCAAAAGTTCTACAAAACAAGTGGTGACAAGAATATTTTATTTTATCAAATGGACAATGAAAAAGCATACGCAAACAAAAGTTTTCGCGGACGGAGGGAGAACACTTTTGTAGAAAAAAAATTACACTGAAATCTAAAACTATCAAGGGTATTATGATATTCACATATTATTATTCAAGTAAAAATTGATATATATTTTTGAACAAAAATCACAGAAAACAGGCAAAAAATAGAGGTNGGGGGGGGGGGGGAACTTACTCTGTATATGAATGTAAAGGTAGTGCGACTACATGTGAGGTGAAATTTAAAACAACAATTGTAGTAATCAGGTTCATTTACAAAATATTAGTAGAAGTGGCACATAATAAGAAACTTCCTCTGTCCAAAGCAATTGGAACAGTAAAAAATTTACACTATTCAAACTAATATTCAACTACTCCGTATATTTTGTGATCTATACTAAGTAAAAATAAAGTCATGCAGGATCTTGTTGATGCAACTCTATAAAAACTTTAATAATATATTTTTTCATAATTTTCACTAAAACATAATTGTAGATGTTAATGATTTAAATTGGGCATCGACAAATGTGAAAATGCAAGTGTTGCAGTTATTTAGAAGGGATGAGGATTGAGGTACATAACACTAAAAGACTGAATTCATAAACCAATGTGTGAACACCTTATTTTTTATGTTATAAAACATCTCACACTCGCAATCTACCACCATAGCTACATATGTAACCATGAATAAACAGAAATCATATGTAAAAAATAAAAAACACATGTTTTAAGTTAATTTTAATTATTTATATTATAAGTGAACTCAATAGAGACCGGGCCTAAAACTCAAAAATTTATGGACCGAAGACTAGACCTAAAGGTATTTGGTCCTATCACCACAGCTACATATTTATAGTGTTAGAAAACATCTAACACTTACAAATTTACAATCTATCACCACAGTTACATATGTAACCACAAATAAATCAAAATCAAATGCAAAAAAATAACAAGATTAAAACTAAAAATTTTGAATTACATTAAATTAATTAACAAACACTCGTAATTATTCATATTAAAAGTAAACTCAATATTACATCTAATTAATAATAATAATGTACTTTTTGTGAATAATATGAGAACCCCAATTTGGAAATTTGGGGCAATAGTGGTTTTGATCCCAACATCAAGTCAATAGCTAGTGATGATGCCATTTCTCTTTCTTCAATCAAATGCACTTTAAACTTTATTCAATTATGCAATATTTGATAGTTAGTTAAGCTTGAACTTGTTGAATATTTTATTATATTGATTCACCAGCCTTTTAATACCACTGTAGTAACTATTGAACCAGAAATTGAAGCTTACGCATAAATGTGTAACTAGGCTACGCAATAAGCATTCAAACAAATTGCCTATAATTAATCTATAACAGTGGTTTAAACCAAACAATTAAGTCAATTTACATGTTTTCCAGATAAAACTATAAAAGAATTATGGTGGTTACTAATTGTTCCAGTAAATCTTAAATAATTCTCTTCTTTATATGGGAAAATTAATCTAAGGAGTGATTGGGTAAACAAATAAAAACCAGAGGATCTGACATGAAAATGACATGTCCCTAAAGATGAAAAGGTGCTTAGGGAGAAGCATTTACCGGACCATCAATGGATTTTGCTAGATTGATTGCCAATCGCATGAAGCTGAAGACTAGTTGGGATTCCACTTCATCAAATCCTGTTATTCCACTGATATTACTGTAGTAGGAAGAATGTATAATGAGATTAAAATAACAGAGGTAGAGCTAAAAAAAATTAATGAAAAGGAAAATCCTTTGAGATTCAAAATCTATTAACTCACTATGTTGGTGGATGGAAGGAAGTCGGCCACAGCTTACACTGTTCTTCCCATTCTTCTTTTGTTGATGCAGCATACTTGCAGACCTGGACAATTGAATCAAACTCATTAAACTACAGACATATTTGCACTTTGCTGGCCTGGACCATTTGTATAAACAGATCAAATTGATTAAATTACAGTAGGTGAGCTTTGGAGGCAGATAGTAGCAATATACCAAAAGAATGTTAAGATCATCAAACTATTAGCAAAAGAAATTACAATAACACTTGGGAATTGAGATTTCTAAAATGCAACTTAATAATGAGCAGAATAGTTCATGCTGACAAAAATAAAACTGATAATTGGATACTATATATAATTAGTAGATCTGCCAAAATCGTACACTATTTGTTTTTTAACTGAGACCCGACCCGACCACAACATGATGGACTTTAAAAAGGGTTTTGTGAGGCCTAAATGACCCCGACACAAATTAGTCAAGTGTCTGAACCCAACCACCTCACCGACCCATTGAGGTAAGCGCTCTTCTAAATGAACCATACTACTATGTTATTTCATTCTTACTTCATTTTGATGTAAACTGTTATCTTGTCTAAACTTTTTAGTGTGCGTGTGTGTGTGCGCTACAAGAATTGTTCATACAGCAATTCATAGAATGCTTGTATCTCTTTGTTAGAGTATAAAATATTTTCTAGGCCTAGAATCACAAGCTTGAGCTTGTGGTTGAGTTGGTTGACTTGGTTCCTTAACATGGTATCAGAGTCCTGTTGGCCTAAAGGTTACTGAGTTCAAATCTCATTGTCATTTAGTATAAAAACCTAATATTCGCGTGCAAGGTTCAAGCAAAAACAAATCTTCCCCAACACGTGAGGGGCGTGTTAGATTATAAAACCTTTCATGAGCCAACAATTACAAGCTTGAGTTAAAAAACATATAAAAAAAATAAGTTAGCCAATTTTGTAGGAAACCATTTTGGATTGTTCTAAAACTTAAGGACGACAATCTATGTGTTGCCACCTTCCAATCATACAGTGAGTTATGCATGAAATTAATCCATATGAGAGATATAGGTGTAGCAAGAACTAAAGCATGAATGATTGTTGTAACATTAACCCTTCTCTTATATGCTCCCTCCGTCCTAGACTATTCATCCAATTTGACTTTTTTGAGTCAAACATTAATCATCAATTGTTTTAAATTTGCATTACATATCAATACAACAACAGCAACAGCAACCCAGTTGGATCCCACGAATTACTACAATGAATTAATTTTCTATAGTTCTACGCAAGATATATTTATTAAACTCATTTTGGTAATAATATCCAATGAAAAATCTGTTTATTTGATGATCAAAGTTTGTCTAGTTTGACCCAAAAAAGTCAAATTGGATGAATACTCTAGGACGGAGGTTTTGTGTGGTGTAGGGTGCAGTTTGGGTAAGAATAGATTCTTTACGTGAGAAATGAGAATGGTGCATTTTAGGTCCATCAAACCGAAGAATAAGTGCATTTGTTCACATCTTTCACGGGAAGACCACTTTTTCTTTGAACTAACCCACACACACTCCCTGCACTCCTAAATGAGCTTGATAGTTTGATTCATGTGGTTTAAGATAAGTATTGAGTGAAAGGTCTTTGGTGAAAAGTAAAACGTGTGGTTGAAATTTATTTTGAACATAAAGAAATAACAAGGGCCGCATTTATTTTCTAAAAGTGAAAGAGGAGAAGTGTACAGTTCCTTTTTAGATGCCAAAAATGAATGTATATTTCTTTTAAGGGCAGAGGGAGTACCAGATGTATTTTTTCTTCAGTTAGGTTATGGGATTAAACTCAAATATAATTAGAATTGCAAATGAAAAGCATAAAATAGCCTTATAATAGCTTAAGACAACAAGCCTACTATAATCCATTACATTTAATTTTAACTCTGTTGGGGCTGGAGATGAAGAGATGTACACAACCTTACATGTAAAAAGTAGAGAGGTTGTTTCAGTAACACACTTCACAGAGCTCAAGAAGTAAGGGAGGTTTAGTGTGCCATTTGATATAGTCCATCGTTTACCTGGACCTAAAACACAGTAAAATGATTCTTTTAGCTCAATCGCCACTGAATGCCCTCATAATTACTTACATTTATACTTCCCTCCATCTTAAATTAAAAGGAAATGAGTATACTCCCTCCGTCCAAGTTGAAACTTCTCAGTTTTACTTAGCATGGTTTTTAATGTAATGTTAAAATTGTATTGACTTTCCAGTATTGCCCTTTCAATATTTTGTCACTGGGTCGACTGCAATCATCCTCTTTGTCTTTCCAGTCTCACACCCACCCCCATCTCAAACCCATCCTCATCTCTGCCATCTCTGCAACCTAGATGCGAACAAGAGGAAAGCAATGAAAAGAAATTGAGAGATAAAGAGAAGGGTCTGTCTCAAACCTACCTACTGTTGTCCTCTCTGGCAACTTAGATGCGAAAAAACGGAAGACGATGAATAGATCTGTCTCAAAATCAAAATACAAAACAAAATCGAATATGGACTGGAAGAGATAAAAGAAGAAATCAAATAGATGAAGACAAGATCTGTCTCGAACCCACGTATCGTTGTCCTCTCTGGCAACTTAGATTCAAAAAAAGGAAGCCGATGAGCAGATCTGTCAAAATACAAAACGAAATCGGGAAAAAAATCTCGCGCTGCTTGGATCCGCAGCCTCTTGGAGCACCTTTTTACATTCCCTCAAGCTCAAAGCCGCACAAGAAAGGAAAATATTTACAGAGGTGGGATGTCATGGGTGAGAAAGAAAAGGAGTAACTTGACTTTTGAGGAAGCAAATGACTTCTTTGTATAGATGAAAGGGGAAGAAGAAAGAGGAACAGTGGGTGGGGGGGGGGGGCTGATAAAGAACAAGAAAGAAGAAATTGGGGAGAAGAAACGGGATGGGTAGGGGAGAGAGGAAAGGAAGAAAGATAGAAAGTGAAGGGTAGATTAGTTTTTTTTATACAATTTATTTGCTAAATAAGGAAATGAGAAGAAAGAAGTGGGACGACCAAAAAGGAAAGTGAAAAGAAAGATATGGGACGGAGGGAGTATATAGGTTGGCTGAAAAGGAAACCGTGTTACTTACTTTGTGACAGAGGGAGTATAATTTTATAAATATTTACGTTTATCATGTCATATACAAGTGCTAATATACTCTTATGTAATATAAATTTAAAGGCTCCCAAAAATTAAAAGGACCGAACCTTAACAAAACCCAAAAGTTCTGAACCTTAACCCAACCAAGATCAACCATTAGCATATTAAGCATGTGCAGTTAGACACATGTTCTTGATCAACAAATGCATATAGAGATCAAACGTGAACTAGTTAAGACCTTAGGAAGAATGCATAAAACTGCCCATCCCTAGGAATAGTGATCTAAAAGATATATAGGTGACTCACTTTTTGTATGAAGGTACTCAATTGGTATGCTTTAACAAGCTCCTGCACATTGCATGGCATGCCACCAGTATCTTCATTTGACACTGATAAAAGCAACGATAACTGAGGTTTTCCTGTCAGATGCCGATTATTGTTGAAAAGGTCATCAAAAAACTAAATGATGAATTTGCTTTTCACATCATCTCAAGAATAAAGTATTTTACCACCTCCATCATTGCATTTCTTGCGTATACGCTTTACATGCCGCATATTTTCCATTGGGCAGATCTGATTTAACTTCCTAAAGATTGAAAAAAAGTGAAAGCACAATCTTAAATTTAGAACTTGCCTATCTTGAGGTAACAAATTGTAACTTGATGTGGTTCAGCTCATTTAAAACAACACATTACATTGTAAAGAATAAGACTATCAGGGGTATAGCTGACCTTACTAAAATATTGGCATCTTTAGGGTCAATTTCAGCAGCATACACATCAACTGAAATGCGTATAAAAAATTTTAGGAATCAAATACAAGTATAATAAATGTAGCAGATCAACAAAACTTGAGAGAGCAATACCGTCAAACTAGCATACCAGTGGGTTGTACGTGAGGCAGAACGGGAGGTTTATACGGAATGTGAACAATTTTCCAGCCACACTCAGAGGTTGCCTCTACTTTATTATTGTCATGCATGTTGCTTTTCACAGTTACTAACTACCAAAAAGTGTAACAACTTAGGAACTGCAGGTGAATACTCCAACAAACCCCTTCCTCACAGAAAATTGGATGAGCCCCCTGTTGAAGACCCGTCGTGCGGTCCAAAACAAATTAAAATTTATAAATAACCTTAGCTAATGCCCAAGATATAATAAAAAAAACTATAGCTAGGGCAAGTAAGGGTCGATCCCACGGAGAATGTTTGTACTTTTGAAATCAAATTAGCATGCACACACATTTTCACTAAATAAAACAAACTAACTACTACACATATGATAAGACGTATAAAACTTATAATTAAATAAATATAAAAACTTATAAATAACTTATAAACGAAGAACTTATACTATAACTTAAACTCAACACAAAGGGGGGGGAGTTTGAATAAAAAGTAAATATTTTTTTTGTTTTTTTATATTTCTTATTTTTTGATTTTTTTGATAAAATGGGGGAAAACAAGCTCTAAAGATAATCAACTTCTCCAACTTAGGTAATCCAAGAAACACCGCCAAGAACCCGAAACAAAATGAAAAAGAGAACAAACACAAGTCGAACATTAAACGTATAATAGGCACGTAGACGATATATTACGTAACTTACGCACTTAAGAATAGAAAAAATCAATCAAAGGCCGAGTAGATTCATTTCCTTAACCACGATATGGAGGATTGTCAACTCTTCATACGGCCCGGAGTCATGCAATCCAAAGACCCGTTTTGAAATATACTTTTGAACCCTAACTCTCTATTCAAGCATGAAAACATACTTCCACTATAGAAAAAGTTTATAAAAGAGAGAATCTATTATGCATTCAACCCCCATACATAATCTATTCACAAACCGCCAACACATTATGCATTTTAATAAACTTTTTCTCCTAATGATGAGCACATTTCACAAATTTCAATGAACTTCTCAAACCCATGACGTCTTTTCTATTCACATAGAAACACAACATATTTTCAATAAATCAAGAATTATTTTTGAGCTTAAACAACCTTAATCTTTATGAAAATAACAAACAAGCATACAAAAACATAACAAAATCACTCCATAACGAATTCTAAGAAAAATGAATCAACTTATGGGGCTAAGAAGTCCAAAATTCTTAAAATCAACAAACACAAGTACAACAAAGAATCATTTATGAATCCGGAGTTCATTTAACTACCTTGAGCTAAAATAGCTTCAACAAAAACTGAATTCCACATATCAACCCTACCTATGAAATCAAATTATGCAATTCAAGCAATTCAACAACAACTTGCTCAATAATTGAAGAAAATTAGTATGAATTAATTCTCATTCATAAGGGATTTAATATAAACATTAAAAAAATCATAAAAGAACACCAACCATATTTTTAGAATTTTTGGAACAAACTAACAAACAAAAAATGTAAAATTGATTTTAAAAAAACAAACTTTTACATAGAATTGGAGAAGAAAAAAAATAAAATTGACAAATAAGGGTTACCAATTGTTGAAGAAGAAGAAATTGAAGAAATTAGAACTTGAAGAAACCTCCTAACCTCTGCCCGGAGCCGTCCGCCGGAACTGCTGCCGCCGCCGGTTCGCGTCTGCCGGCTGTCCGCCACCGCGGCCTGAGCCGCGGCTCTACCTTGTCTGGTTGTCGTTCTCCCCTCTTCTCCTACTTGATGTGTGTCGCCTAGAGCGCTATTTCCTGTTGCAGAATTCTTTCAGTTGCTGAATTGAATGAGGAGACGTTGGAGGCTTGTTTCCGCCTGTTCTTGCGGTCGAAGAAGAAGAAGAAGTGGCGATCTCCTCTTATATTTTTCGTGCGTGAAATTGAATTGAGAGAGAGATGTGTTGGGCTCCTACCCAAAATCAATCTTTTTTTTCAAAATTGAACTCCAATTTTAGCTTTCTGTTATATTTTTTTCCAAAAAATATGATATTTGATAATTTGAATTAGAAAAAATAAAATAAAAATAATAAGATGTAAAAAATGATTAAAAATCTATTATTTATGAGAAAAAAATAAAAAATTGTAAAAATAAGAATTAAAATAAAACTAAACTAAAAAGACTAAAAATTAAATTATAAAAATATTAATAATACATTCATTTTCCAAACACACACCTTGAGAACCCAAACTATATCAAAGGATTCTCGGCTTGATACTTCTCAGATAGAACACCAACACTTAGGGGGTGTTTGTTTTTTGGCCAGAAGAGCTTCTGGCCTCTTTTGTCTGCGCCGCGCAGATGCTGAGCTCTGCAGATTGTTTGTTTTTTGGAAGACATTTCACTCAAAAAGGTCTTTCTGACATCTTCTTGAAGAAGACATTAACCTATGTCTTCTAACATCTTCTCCATTTTTTTCTTNCCTCCACCACCACCACAATCGTCTATACACCACCACCGTACACTACCATCATTAATTTATATAGTAGTCTACAGACATTAAAAAAGAAACAGTCTTCTTCTTGCAGACCGCAGACCTTCGGTCCACCACTTCTCCTGCAGATGTCTACAGTAGTGGTCCGCAGACTACAGACATTTTCCTGCAAAAAAAACAAACACCCCCTTACTTCCCAAGACCACTAATCCTGGCTGCACTTTACCTTTTGTTTGAATGAAGGGCATAAGAGCCCAAGCAAGTAATGGAAATCATAGTTAAACACACTTTTGGAAATAAATGGCGTTAAATAAATAAGCATTTGTGTGGTCACTAGCATGGAAAATACTGTCAAAATTTGTTTTGAATAAATAAGCATTTGTGTGGTCACTAGCATGGGAAATAAATGTTTTTTCATTTAACAATATTTCAGATGACCAATGGGTTGTTTTAGGAGTTAATATGAAAGTGGAGGATCATTTGAATTCAAATTTAAATGACTTCCGTAATCCATTAGATTCAGTTTCTTGAAATTTTTAAATTTCGTCTTCAAAAAAAACTCTTTAAATCTCGGTTGCTTTTGATAATATAATTGCATCCTAAATTAAAAACAAAGCAAGTTGAACATATTATACATGGAGCATAAGGGTTTTGCTAATGATGATCCTACCTATAAGGTTGTCATTAGCAAAACCCTATACTTAATTTAAATTTTTTTAAACTAGCAAAGATATTAATAAATGAAAAATCTAGAACATTATATTTTTAACAATAAAATAAATAAATAACACAAATTTATATAGTTGCATACAACAATATCTAATATGACGTAGTCAATACCAATTAACCTATTGAAGTAGTCAATGGCATTGTCATGGAACAATGTTTTCCATTACTCTTAGAATTTTGGATAAGTTTTTAAAGGTATAAATTAAAGGTGAAATTGTTGCCAAAGGGGCCCAATGTCTCTATATTCACAATTATCGAATAGAGAGAGATAATTAAGATCTAAATTGAATGAAAATTCAATATTATAAACCTTGAAGGAGCTGAAACAAGAAATAGTGGGAGAAGGAAGTTCTGCGTCGCAGGGTCGGAAGTTCCGGGCGTAGGAGCTGTACGGCCGGGAGGAGGGACTGAGGGCTTTAAATAAAGAACATGGAAACACAATTGCTTTAATTTGCTACGGCAAACAAGATCAGACTCTATCAAATCAAATTAGATCTAATTCGATCATGATAAATTAATCAGATCTGGTCCAATCAGAATTTTATTATTATTATTATTATTATTATTATTATTATTATTATTATTAATATTATTACTATTATTATTATTATTATTATTATTATTATTATTATTATTATTATTGGCGTCCACCATAAGGCTTATGGGGTATGGGTGATCGGGGAAGTTGGCGTCGCCCACAAGGCAGCCGACCCCAACAGGAGCACCCCCCCGATCGGCGTTCGATGTCGGAATGCTCTGCACGCCGAACGCCCCAACTGACACCCATCCCTCTCTTTTTTCTTTTCAATATTTGATTGTTGCAAAATTTAAAAAAAATCGAAAATTGACCGTTAGGTCCAAAAAAATATCTACTCTATTTAAATACACCTCTTCTCCCTAAACTTTCATTAATTATTCTCCAAAAAAATTCTTCTTCATTTACAAAATATTTTGTGCCATGAATTATTCTTCATCTTCCAACGAAGCCCAAGAATTGTTTTTAGTTTGGTGACGGACGCCGCACACATTCTTCTAGTGCAGCATGAAACTACACAGTCATCGGCGCCACGAAGAAGACAACGAGCGTTACTCCGAGATCAAGAGGGTATGATTTTTTTGTATTCAATCGTATAATCTATATTTTGAGATTATTTTGTTATCGCATTGGTTTTTAATATTTTTATTTTATTTGAATTTGTAGTTGTTCATGAGCAGTTGGTTTCCAACTACTTTGAGAAGGTCCTTGTGTACACTGACGACCAATTTAGGCGTCATTTCCGTATGAGCCGTCGATTGTTTCTCCGTATTACTGATGCCTTGACAAATACAAACCTATTTCTTACATTACAATCCAATGTGAGATTGGAGAGGAGTTTTACAACGCTACAGAAATGCACAACGGCAATAAGGCAACAAGCGTACGACACAAATAGTGATTCATGGGATGAGTACCTTCGGATGTCAAATATAACGGCCCGGAAATGTTTGTACAAGTTTGCCAAGTGCGTCGTCATGCTATATAGCAAACAGTAATTGTGTAGACCAACACGAAGAGACGTTGAGAAGTTAAACACCGCCCACAATGCTAAACACGGATTCCCCAGAATGTTAGGCAGTATCGACTATATGCATTGGGAATGGCATAATTTCCCGAATGCGTGGCGTGGTCAATACACACGCAGTGATCACGGATATCCAACAATAATGCTTGAAGTTGTGGCGTTGCAAGATCTTTTGGCCTGGCATGCATTTTTTGGTGTTGCGGGGTCGAGTAATGATTTGAACATGTTGAATCGCACATCCTAAAGGGTGTTTCACCCGACTCTTCTTTTATGGTGTCGGGGGTGGAGTACAAGCACGGTTACTATCTAGCTGATGGTATATATGCTAAGTATGCGGCTATAGTGAAAAGTTTGTCATATCCCGAAGATGAAAAGAGGAACAAATTTGTGACGTACCAAGAAGCGGGAAGAAAAGATGTTTAATGACTCTTTGGTGTGCTAAAGAAGCAGTAGCATATTGTGCAGAATCCTGTGCCTGCTTTCACGCCCAAACAATTGAGATGCATTATGTATGCTTGTATCTTGTTACACAACATGATACTCAAAAACGACGGGCGTGCTATTTGAGTATGACCCAAATGAAGTTGTTGATATGTTGTATCGGTTGACGTAGTGCAATAAGAGTCAAATATGTTGGCATTACATGACCAGGAAACGCATCACCGCCTCCATAGCGATTTGATACAACATATTTGGTCTATGAAAAAGTAATTTTTTAATTCTAGTTTTTTCATAATTATTTCTTAATTACATTTGTCATTATTTTAATTATGTATCAGTCTTTAATTAATTAATGTTTCATTTTAATTATGTACTTTTTTCCATAATTGTACTCTTTTATTTATAATGAATGAAAAGCTTAATATAAGTTTTTAGATCTTAAAGTGTCCAATTATTATTTAATTTTTATTTTATTTAATTATTTAAATTAAAATATAAAATGTAAATAAAATATTATAAAAGTAGTATCTAAAAAAATAAGGATGGAATGATGATGACACCCTTGGATGGGGACGAAATGGGGTTGAAATGGGGAAAATTGATGTGGCGCTAAGTTAGAAGTGGGGATGGTGGGGATGTTGACGATGACACCCTATAGTCTAAGGTATCATGCAACTAGAATTCAAAGGTAGTGCTTGTGACATTAGTACACACAAATTTCTAATTTTTTTTTAAATTTAGGGGAAAAAATGTACGGTAATATTTTGTAGCATAAAAAACTTATATTCATTTTTTGTTATATAAACTTATTATGTAAAATACAGAAAAAATATAATATTTTGTACTGTAGCATTCATGTTTCTAATGATTGAATATTTTAATAATAATAATAAGAGGAATTTACGTAAATAGCACTAAAACATAATGACTTCCCCTAAATAGCACTACATGTGTTTTTTTCCTAATGTAGCACTTTTAGTCATTATCCATTAGTCATTATTTAAATAAATCTTTGCCATCACTGGTCATTATAGACATTATTAAGTGCTATTTAGGGAATAAAACAATTCAAGTGCTATTTAGAGAAATAACTTGAGTTTTAGTGCTATTTAGGACAAATATTTCTAATAATAATCACTCCTCTCCGGATTTGATATTAAAAGAGTAATGCTTATATGGTCCCAAGGTCCATATTTAAAGTGTGGATCTTCTCACATTTTTCATGGACTTACATATGGATGTTTTCTCTTTTTTTTGCAAAGGCTTACGCCTTTTATGCTACAAATACCTTAAGGTCTACAAAATAAGCATAGACCTTAGGTCCACGGAAAAATAATCTCAGATTTCACTGTGATGTATAATATTTCCAATTTTACTAAAATTTGAGAGCTTTGGGTAGTCGTTAAGTTGCTAACAGCCGGTTAGTGGAAATAACATGTTTTGCGCAACACATGAAAGTTTAGAGTATTTTTTGTGAATTTTTATTTTTATTTAAAAAAATCCTTTAAATATTAAAATTACTTCTTACCTCTATCATTTCTTTTTTTTAAAAAAAAAATTGCCTAACATCAAAAAATAAAAAATAGATATAAAAATAACAAAGATGAAAAGAAAAACTAAAACAATACAAAATTAATGAAATAAATAAGGTAATCAATAAAAACTAGCCTCAAAAGGGTAAGATATA